ATTCAAATCCCGGGCTTCATTTGCAATTGCGGTATGCCTACATTACCCTCCTATTTCGAAATAGGAGGGTAGTGTAGACATACCCCCAGTCACAGGGTACAACCCTGAATTTGCAGATTTATTTAAAAATCCTTGCTATTGGCCTTGCAATTTCATGTGCCCAGTTCCTATAGTATTCTTGGATGAAGATTATCCAAGCCTTTTGATTTAGTCCAATTAAGCAGTTTGAGTCTGACTTACACCTCACATATGAAACTTCTACTTCATATCCTCATTTTTGTTAAGCACACTATCACTATCTCTTAACTATTTGAGTACCTTTATTAAAAATTAAACCAAAGTATTTGCAGTAGTTAGGTCATGCCTACCGTATAGATGGTTTAGCGGTTCCAGTTTTTCTTTTTCTTTGTATGGCTTTTGGATTAATACTCTAAGTAAGGATGTGAACAACTAATCAACTAGTCGCTCTCCCCTCCCCCCGCTCCCTCTATCAGAAACAGGGATGTGAATGACTAGTTGACTATCCAGTAAGCAAATGCTTATCCGATAATCGACTAGTCGCTCCCTCCCTTCCCCTGCTGCCTCTGTCACACAGAGACAGCAAGGAAGGCGGGGAAGAAGGCGACTTGAAAGTGGCAGTGCTGCTTGAAGCCTGGGGCTAGAGCCCAGGCCCTGTGTGGTGCTGCCGCTTTGAAAAGCTGCATGCCAGCTGGAGTGTCCTGAGGTTGCACGTGCCATTTCAAAGCGGCAATGCTGTGTGGCACTCAGGGTCAGCTCGAGTCCCCTGATGGCCCCATGTTTCCACAGTGCTTTTGCCTTTGAAGTGTTTTAACAGCCCTGGGATTGTTGCTACGCTTTAAAGGCGAAGGAGCTCTTATCGACTAATTGAGTAGTTAATGCAAATTACATTGACTATTCTATTAGCCCATTAATCTAAATTTAACATCCCTAACCCCAGTCTGCGTAGCCTCCCTCATATATTCCTTTTCATAGAACATACAACTCTCTTTTTTGCCCTGACATGCCTTAGCAGTCTTCTCTTTGGGTCTTAGTACTTTTGCACCCATAGGTCAGTGTGGAAAATTAAAGGGTGGGCTGCATAAGTGGCCCTCCTTTGTCTTAGTGGGCTGCAAGATTGAAATCAGTTATGTACACTAACCTTGACACCAAGAATAATATTAAAACATTTCTACTTAGTTTGAAATATTAAGCATGCCATGTACTAATTTATTTAATCATTCATATATTAATAGAAAGGTCATCAACTTCAAATAATGGAAAAAAGAAATGTTTACACTTACTTTACAATATCAAATCCCTGCTCAGTCTCTTCTCTGCCTCCTCTCCCAAGTGTGTCCTGTCCCTGCTTCTCCCCCTCCCTTCTAGCACTTCTGGAGCACCATAAATTGGCTGATTATTGATGTTCAAGCTCTGAGAAGAAGGATGAGAGTGGGGATGGAGTGCAAATCAGCCAATTCACAATGCTCTGGAAGTACTGAGAGGAAAGTGGGGGAGTAGGCAAGTGTGGGGCTCCCAGTGTGTGAGATATGGGGGAAGGTGGCAGGGTGCAGGACTTGGGGCAGGGCCTTGGGAGTTTGGAGGAGTGCAGGAGGCTGGGGGGGTAGATGGAATGTGAGAGTGAGGGTTGGGGTGCGGAGAGGCTCAGGTTGGGGGTGTGTCTCACCCAGCATGGGCTTTTTTCTCTTCCCCCAACGCCAGTCTCCCCCCATGGCTACCAAGGACATTTTCTCTTTTCCCCAGCTGCCCACCATCCCCAGCTGCCAGGGGCATGCAGCCAAGGGCTGTGAGGAGGGAAAGCGTTTGGGGGAGAAGAGCTACTTACCCAGTGAGTTGGCAAGCATAATGGCGGGCCCCCAGGCCAGCTGGCTACTCCCATGATAGTATGGTTGCCCAGTGCAGGATTGCTGTCCCCTGCAGGCTTGCTACCCTAGTAGTCATTCTCCTATTGCATCCCTTTAAACAGCAGCTCCTCCAGTTGCATGTCTGAAAACAGTTTTTTTTTTCTCCCCAGGGCTTCCGGTTCTCCTGGCACAATCAAACTCTGTCCTCCTTTTAAGTTAGGAGAAGATGAAGCTCATACCAAATTTGGTGGCCCTAGCTTTTACCATTTAGGAAAAGTTCTTGAACAAACGGATTCACAGACACATGGATGCTCTCTATTATATATAGATTTGTTATTCCTTCGTGCTTGCCTGATTTTTAGAATCTTACAGGAGTTATTGGGAAGATCTGCAAACACTTAAGATATTGAACTATTTGTAGTGCAGGAGAAGGCTCATAAATTCTTTGAAATTGTACATGCTCTCCTTCTAGGCAATTGATGGTGCTTAATGAGGATGTCTTAGAGCCTGTAAGAGAGATTTAACAATCTTGTCTTTGTTCCTTTTATGGCCAAGTGAACAAAGAAGTACTAATATTCTCAAAAGCTGCTGATTCCTTGGTAGTTTCAATAGCACAGGAGAAGTCCAAGTAAGCAGGACTATCAAAAACTACTCCCTAGGACAGTGGTTCCCAACCTATGGTTGTGGACCCTCTGGGGGTTCACAGTGATACTGCAAAGGGTCTGTGGAACGTTTAAGAATAGGTGGGCCTAATCCTTCCTTTTTCCTTTTTTTTCTTCCTTAGGGTGGGGCGTGACATTTTAATAGTTTGAAAAGGGGTCCATATGCTCAAAAAGTTTGAGAACCACTGCTCTAGGATAAAGATCCTGGGACATTACTCGTTGAAGAAAAGGGAGTTACTCACCTCGTGCAGTAACGAGTATTCTTCAAGATGTGTGTCGCCATACCTCCCCTCTGCTCGGAGTCGAAATTACTCGGGCGGAGACGAGGAACTGAAAGGGAGGTGGTTGAGCCGCGCTCCTCAGGAGGCGGGAAAGGGCTCGAGATGCCTCCTGGGCATGCGTGGCTCAACAGGGGAAACCGCTGAACAAAGCTCCGATCTGTGGCTCAGGGCGACCCTTCACCTAAAGTGGAGCACCCACAGGGACACACATCTGGAAGAACACTCGTTATTGCACGAGGTGAGTAACTCCTTTTTTTTCAGTTGGCCATGTGAGGGCCATGTCATTATTGAAATTTCAGTGTGCTCTCCTTGATTCTTTGTTGTTGTTTTTTAAAAGCAGTTTTGATGTACTTGTTTTGGCTATACAGTTCTTTAAGGATTTGTTTAGACAGTGAGCTTCAGATAACTAACAGAAACCTTGATGTGAGCTTTAAACATAGCTGTTTCATTTTACGTGCACACTTTTTTTTCATTCTGTACAGTGTCTCCTCCTTGTGGTAGGAAATATCAATCCTGGGATAAACATGGACTTAATGATGGACTGGGAATATATTAGTTCTTATTCTAGTAAGCCACATAATGTAAGGAAGGCTGAAGTAAAAATATGTATTTTTTTTTTAATCAAGGCATTTACAATTAAAGTACTTATGTATAGCAACATGCAGATCTTTGACGGTCTTACTAGGAAACTTGTGCCACAGCAGGGCAGTCCCATTTTATGTGGTTTCAGGAATAATTTTACTTATGTGTTTATAGCTACTATAAAATGCAACAAAATACATTCCATTGTTAAACGACTTCACAAATTGTATAGCTTTGCATTCACTGTTAAATATTTAATTTTTGAAAAATGAGTTCGTGTTTGTTTCCAAAAGCACATGCATGTTTTTCCAAGCATATTTCGACATTTTTCTTACTGGTTTCCTTGAAGAGTCTGAACAGATAATGCTATGAACCCAATTAAACAAAAATTCACTTACTGTATTAAATTACTTGAGTGGATGCTTGAAAATGATGCTTTGTTGATCTGTGAAGATAAAGCAGTGAAAACTGAGCACTGCGAATAAAAGATATTGCTAACCTTGTGTCTGCAGGGTCTTTTAATGTTTAAGTGAAGGTGTAAATTCCCATGACACCTTACTTTAACTAAAAGTTTACATTTTTGGACTATGAACTAAGGGCCACCTTTTGAAAACCTTTACTCATGTGAGTAATCCTTCGATGTAGAAGTAATCTCAATGACTTCAATATGACTTAACTGTGTTACGGCTCCTGAATTGAAATGCTGCGTACTTTACTGTTTTCGTATCTTTTATGTTCAGATTTGAAGCGAGAATCCAAATATAGAGGGTACATCATTATTATGCTCCTCACATACACAAAAGTAATTAGTACTAGGACTCAGAAACTAGTGAATAGACGAGTTTGTCACTTGTGCAACTTCATTTTGGCTCCTTGTGTGCATGTATTATGATAATTTGTAATTAAAGGGTTGTATGCTATTTTTTACTACTGGACTGTTAGCTCATTCAGTGCACAGAATAGACTAAAATTAGGGAAAG